CAGCCCCAGCCTTGTTTGCTCCCCTCCACCCCTTTCAGCTGCTTGCAGGGAAGGTCGGGGAGGGGGGGGTCTCCTGCCCCGCATAGCTTTGCTGGGGAGGGGCTGCTGCCTCCCTCCTGTCCAGCCCGGCCCCGCCCTGGTCCCAGCCCCACTGATTCACATCGGGAGGTGGCTTTTAAAACCCTGCTGTGGGACACGGGCCCACTTTCTTTCAACGTGGCAGCATTTGAATCCTGCACCCATAGCAGCCCACCCGCCCTCTGAAATGTATGCTGGGCACTTTCCAGGGGGGACGTAGCCTTCGGGGTGTGTGGGGGGTTCCGTCATGGCTCCCAGGCAATGGACTCCCTTCTCCCAGGAGTTCTGTGCAGGCCTCTGATGACCAGACAGAAGACCGGCCTCTTCCCATAGGGCCTTTGAGTGGGTCTGAAGGCGGGGGGGCGGGCGGGGAGAGACCAGCCCTTACCTACGCCGCCTTTGTGCTTTGGAGGCTTCCGACGGGTGCACAGGCTGCCTGGAGGACTGTTGGGTGGAAAGGCGCCCTCTGAGCCTTCTGCCCCTAGTGAGTACAGGGGACGATCCGGCAGAGCCCCTCGTGCCGCCGCGAAGAGTCCGGGTCCTTCGTCCCCATCCCCCTCTCGTTGGTTGTGTCCCCCCTTGCAGTGTGTGAAGAGGGGTTCTACCTCCACCAGAAGAGCTGCCTCAAGACGTGCCCGCCCGCCTTCGCCCCCAGCACGGTGCCCCCGCCTCTGGAGAACGGCCTCGATCCCCACCTGAGCCCCCGCCTCTGCGTGCCCTGCCACCCGTCCTGCGCCACCTGCCTGGGGCCGGCGCCCGGCCAGTGCCTGTCCTGCCCGGCGCACGCCCACTACAACGTCCAGGAGCAGACCTGCTCCCACCAGACCCAGAGCAGCCGGGCCTCCCCCGCCCTGCGGGAAGGCGCGGCAGGGCTCTCCCGCCTGGGCCCCTCCCACCTGCCCGTCCTGGTGGCCGGCCTGAGCTGTGCCTTCATCGCCCTGGTCTTCGTCACCGTCTTCCTCGTGCTGCAGCTGCGGTCGGGGCTGCGCCTCCGCGGGGTCAAGGTCTACTCGCTGGAGAGCGGCGGCGTTGTGGCCTACAAGGGGCTTCCGTCGGAGGCCTGGCAGGAGGGGCCGGAGGAGGAGGAGGAGGGGGAGCGGACTGCCTTCATCAGGGACCAGAGCACTCTTTGATGAGCCTGCAGGGGGGGGCCCCGGCACAGCGGGGGGGGGGAGGCCTTGGGGCCCAGGGAGGAGGAGGGGCCTCTG